TTTATATTAAATTATTTTAATTATTAAATTAAATTTTCTTAATACATAACAAAGTTTAGGTTAATAATTTTATCATTAAAATTTAATTTAAAATAAAAATTATTAAAAAATTTCAAAAATAAGTCTAATTAAATTTATTTTATTAAATAAATGTATCTATATATTATTATATTACTTCGGCACTGCATGGTTGTTGGACGATTTTGATTTGGAGCATATGAACGACAAAAGGAGTTGGAAAACATCATAGTCAAATACCCAAATCTTTGTAAGACTTTTTGGTTTAGATTAACTTTTTTTAATTTTAATTCCACTTTGAAAAGTGAGACCCCACAGATGCTTGACTTTTCAACATTCTATGCTGAATGTTTGAATTGGAACCAATGCATATACAACTTTCGTAAGAAACTCTTGAGCTATCTCGTGACTACTGTGTTTTCATGCATTGAGGAATATTCAAGAACAGACCTACCTGAATTGGACAAGAAAAATACTACTCCTAAACGCTATACATGTTCTGTCAAAAATTCTAATTTGCATTAACATCCTTATTATTTGGTGTTTGGTGAATGATGCTGGTTATTATATATGTAATGCTTTTAATGTGTAGTTCAATTGTCAATTTTTGAATCATCTAAAGATAAACCATTTTTTTCAGTGTTGACTTTTTTCTTCTCTACTTTCTCCATTCTATAAGCATACATCTACTCTCATGTGTAAACAATGATTTGTAGTACTTTAACTAAAATATAGAAATTAAGGTTAAAAGAGTCGCTTTTTTTTTTTCATGTTAGAAAGTAGAAGACTTTTGATGTCAGTGTCCATTTTGAATATGGATATACACATAATTGAAAACTATTACATCCACAGAAAGCACTCATCAATAACATAATCTCAGGGCAAATCATCAACTACCCCAAGAACTATAACCTCTGCCTCTGCAAAGCAGGTGTCCTTCACCACATAACCCAAGTTTTGATTGGTGAAATTATTGATAGGCATAAATCTGGATGCACCATTTTCGTGGGTTGAGGCACTAAACCAGTAGTTAGCTACAGGAAAAGGAGGTTGTCAGTTATTGAACTTAATACATGCTTTTGATTGCTTAGACTTGAGAAGAATATTTTCCATAATGTTAATTATTCATTCAATGATTTTTTTTAAGAAAATAAATTTGAACATAATTCAATTTTATAAAACCATACTGTCATATGAGAATTATTTCATATCTATATACACTATTATGATATTATATTATTATCGATACGAGATTTTCGATACATTTTTTTTAAACAATGGTGTTTATTTTGAGGAATTACAACTCAAAAAATTATCAAATTGTACCTTTTCCAAAGTGATGCTTGGCTTGCTTTTGGTCTAGTATGCGTAATATTATCTGTGCATATATTTTGGAACCAGGAGAAAGGGCTGAAGGGTCAGCTAAGGCTAGGTACAGAGAAAGATAATTTCCCATTTCAACATCTTTTCCCTTGGGATATAGTTTTATCTTCCTGCCAAAAAACAACATAATGACAAATTAGGAAATAGTTAAGATGTCTGTCATTTGCTCTCGGTTTTAAAGAAAAACTTCAAGTTAGGTTCAAGTAAATGCACATAGGATGCAAAGATCCTTGAATTAATCTTATTAAAGTTTTCTTCAACTATGAGCATGTATGGATTTACATCAATTTTAGTTGGATATGAATTAGTGAAAACAACAATCAGTTACTTTTGCATCAATTTTTATGTTACTCTTACTTAAAGATGGATCATAGATGAGAAACCAAACATGCATTATATATTATCATTGATTTCATGATTAGTGATATAATAAAAAATAGTGTGTATAAACAAGGGTTAATCATTTGTACCACTTGTAGTTTCCAGCATTGAATGGTTTAGAATCATAGCATTCTGAATCCAACTTTGAAAGGTTGTCAAACACATAGAGGTGCTTGTATGTAATGATTTCCTTCATCATTACCAAACATTCTCCTCTGCCTGTGCTTCTTTCTTTGCAAACAAAGACTTCTGCTCCAAAAGCACACGTGTCATCCACCAGATAACCTTTAGAGGCAAGGTTGAAATCTTTCAGAGGAAGAAATTGATCAAATCCCCATTCAACCTTCATTTTGTGAAATCTCCTTTCCTTTCTCACAGTATCTATTAAATGCAGTGTCCCAAAAATGGTAAGAAAACTGAACTATCAGCATAAAATCTTTTTTCAAATATAGGAAAGTAAAACAATATTTAAGTAAACAAATAATTTTCCGTGGGAAAAGTAAATGTATTCAAAGATAAGATAAAAAAGTTAAAATAGATACCTTGGACAACTAGGTAGTTGTCGTTTTTTTGATCATACAAAAAGAATCGAAAATAGACATAGATTTCCCAACCATGATGAAGGGAACTTGTGTCGTCCAACAACAAGTAAAGTGAAATATGGTCCATTACATTCCTCCTCTTGTTTCCATTAGGGTACAGAGCTAACTTCCTACGAATTGTAAGCATGTTCACTGGTTAATTACTATGAATATATAAACTAAAAGTGTTTTTGAAAATTGTTTTATTAAAAATAAAGATTATTTTCGGTATAAAAAAAATTCTGAAAACTGTATATAAAACTTAATCATTGATCTAGTTATCCAAGGAAACTGTTGCGGAAGCAAGAATTGTAAAAGTAACCAATATCATTATGTTCACATAGAACATATAAATGTATACCATTTGTAGCCTCCAGCTTCAAAATTCCCTGATTCATATCTCTCTATAGAATTCTTCGCAAGGAGTGAAAATGATTGTACTTTCACTACGTAATGAGCTGGTGGTGCATCTACTATAGATCGTGTAATGTCTGCAATATTATTTGTGAATGACATATAATAAGCAAATATATATATATATACAAATAATTTTGTGGGACGCATATGTGCTTGCCGCAAGTTAACTTTTCATGAAAAATGAAATTATTATTCTGTTTATAAACATATTATTGAAATTATGTTTGTTTAGTTTTTCAAGCCATTTTGGGCATAATGAAAGACTTTTCAATAACTATAGTTGATTTTAAAAAAAAAGCAATAGGCGACAAGTAAAACGTATTATGCAAATAGAAAGTTTAATCCAAAATTCATCCCTGCCCAATAAATCATAATGATAACCAGGTTTGTCCATTTGCATCTGGCATAAATGCCAAAATAATAGTTAGACGCATATACGTGCCAAATTATATAATAATTATGCAGACAAACATGAAAACATTTCAAGAGATGGTACACATTAAAGGGGACAAACCATCTTGACTGCCCATGGTTGGATATAAGCTATGGCGATGAGATCATAAATATCCGCAACTATTTCATTTCATCACTTTGAGAATATCTATGTTATTTATATTGTGTTTCATTATCCTTTCCTTGAAGAAAGTTGTTATTAGTTCAAGGAAGTTGGCATATATTCTCTGCTTTTAGCATGACCAAAAGGCAAAGAGGTTTTCTATGAACTTTTTAAGGATTTATGTAGTATATTATTTGTCAAAAAGGATTGATTTCAAGCTTAGGGATATTCTTTGCTTCAAATTTAATATGAGGAATTATATATCTTGTAGAATCATATGACTTTTCCTATTAGAAATACTTCCCCAAGCTCGTGCTTCTAGTCTTTAATCTAAGAGATTTTTAGGGAAAAAAATAATATAGTCAAAAAAAGCATGCATATGTTAATTAAGAATAAGATAAATATTTAATATGTGATTTTAATATCTCAATTTTTAATTTACAATTTTAGTCTTCAATTTTATAAAGTTTGTAGTTCTAGTCTAATTGTTAAATTTTTTTTGTCGGTATAATAGTTAAATTTTCATCTGTTTTAAAATTATAATGTAGACCGCGACTTAATTATACTAAAATTTATATTTATAATTAATATGTTTATGGAACTAATTCATTATTAGTTTAGATAATGTATTTTTATTATGTTAAAATTTATATTTATAATTATTTTTCTCCTCATTTATTGACAAAGTACATATTATAATAGTATATAATTTTTTTAAAAATGTTTTTTTTTTACTTATGTTTTTGTTATTAATATGTGACGGTTACCATTTAATAATATTTAGTTTAAATTTTACTCTTAATCATTATTCTTATCCTAAAAGCAATAAGAGGAACTAAAAATAGGTAAAAATAACGATCAAAAACAATTTAATTTAACCTAAATGTTACTCCCCTGCTTTTTTATACATTTAAATTAAATGTGTTGTTAGATGATTTTTATAAAAACTAATCTATATAATGTATTAATTGTTTTTTTTACAAAAAAATAACCTTAAAAAAAGTGATTTTCCTAATTTAATTTTTGAGCAATTTTCTTAATTTAATTAGTAGTCGATAGAAATGGAATCTCATTAATATTAATGCAACTTTAAAAAATGTAAATTTAAAAGACGATATTTAATACTATCAGCTAGATTAGCTAGTTTCTTTAATATTAAGTAATTGAGTCTTATAATAAGGGTTAGAGAAGAAATATTAAATATTATTTCTTTTATTTCAAAATGACTTAGCATTTAAAAAGTTTTAAAGTGATTGATGTTCAAAAATTTCGATGCAATATTATTTTTTTTTAATTTACTTTTTGATAAATTCCTCAATCATCTAATGCATTTATTAAAAATGTGAGAATATTTTCATAAAATTACATAAAAGAAAATAAAAGTAAAGTATATTTTTATTGTTTTTAATTTGTGTATACAGATTTTATACTAGGTCGTGTGAAGATGAAAGGAGTAATTATTAGGTTATATGGCTAATGTTAGCATTTTAATAGTAACAAACACTTGTTGAACAACCGAAGAATCGAAAGTTTGGAGATGAAAGTGTTTGTTGGAAATCCACTAACCTGACAGTCCCTGTCGAGAGTCGGCGATCCACTAACCCAACACCCATTTCTTTCCCCTCCTCGTAACTCTTTCTCAAAACACTGCTAATTCACAGTGTGACATATCCATACTTTAAAGAGGACATAATTCTTTCTTTGAAACATTTAAGTGTCTCGCATGACCAAGTTTTTCAACACCAATTTTTAAAAGGAATTAATCATCAAACTGATCAAAGAATTTATACATATATATTTTATATTTAATAAAATTTATACATATTTTAAAGAATTTTCTAAAATGTTTGTAGTTAATACAATACTCATAGAACAAATACAATATTCATAGACCAATTAAATTATAAATTAATTGAATCGTATAAATTAATATATGATTTTAAATTAAAACATATTATATAAATTATTTTTAAGTCGTTTATATAACTTATATTTACTTGGTCATTGTTAAATAAAGTTTAATATTATACAATAATATAGTATTTTTGTTATCCGGTTCAACTGAGAAGCTTCCACTTTAGGTATAACTTAAGTTCAATCTGATTTAATAGAAATTTGAGGAGAGAGGAGTATATTATAAGGGATTTAATTAAAAAAATACCATTTTTGTTTGGTATAAGTGATTTATGAGGAATTATGTGAAAGTTTATGTGGGTTTCATGGTCGCAAAAATACCCTCTAAATGGAGGATTGTTGTGAAATTGAGACTTGTTGAATAAAATGACAAATATAATCTTGTGGCAACAATCACCATATTTCAATATGCTACCAAGATGATGAAATATTTAAGTAGAACATAACTGAAGTAAGGTATCATGAGTGACTATATTAAAATATATTATTAATGTAATACATTGTGCATGAGAACAAAGACAAAATCTTTAACATAAATGATTTTGCCAAGTGTTAACTAATATAATTGATTATGCTATTATATTATACAAAAATAAAGTATAATCTCACTTCAATATAATGGGAGAGGGTGAAATTATAATTGTATATATTATTTATTTTTACATAAAAATATACCTATGTAAAATAAAATTTTACAATAGATAAAACTTAGGTACAATTTTGTATATGCGGTTTGTGTGATTCTTCAATCAAAGTTGGAGTTGGGTCAACTGCTGGTGTATGTTTAGGTTTTGGACAACAATTTTTTGCCCTCCCAAAAATAATAGGAAGTTGCTCAATGTTTACTTAAACTACCTTAGGGTTAAGAGCAACTTCATCTATCACAATAACTAATAAATCAGTTTCAACTGTCTACTTTAATATGAAGTGTTTATTAAAGACTGCATCTCTACTGATTACTATCTTCTTTAAAGTTGAATTTCAAAACTCGAAGCCTTCACACCCTTAGCAAAACCTATGAAAATGCACTTTTTTTTGTTCTTTAAATCAAGTTTAAATATATCATTACTAGATATATCCACAGACACAAGACACAAAAAAATCACAAATTATCAAAATCAATTGAGTTACATATCCATACCTCTCCTATAGACGTAGGTCAATATCAAGACATAACACCTTATTTGCCAAATAGAGTTGTGTGGTTCTTCTAGCCCTTTCCTATAACTCCTCTCAATTCAATTGATCCATGTTGTCAAGTTTTTTCTCGTTTAATGCTTTTAGAAAGTCTGTTTGTGTCAACAAATCCTTAATCTTCCTTTGTCATAATCTAAAATTCCCAATTCGATTGAACCTCCCAACCTTAAATTTTGCACCAAGGTTAAACGTCATCTAATACTAATTATTAGCAATAGCAATCAGATTCTAAAACAAGAGAATAAAACACCCCAACACACACACAATCAATGGTTTAAAGAGGTTTGAGAATGTGCCTATGTCCTCGGGAGCAAAGCAATTGTATTTTTTTTTATTCATTAAAAATAAGGTTATATCAAACATATATAAATTAGATTAAATTACACTCGTACCCAATTTTTTTAAGATTACATCCGATGCCTCATTATAATATAAAATTATATCTAAATTTTATTCTTTTAAAATATTAATTTTTCATCTAATTTTATTTTATCAATCAACCACAAATTATCCTCTATTTAACTTAATTCTTTTACCCTATTAGTTATCAAATTAATTATGAGTTATTTGGAATGTTTTCCTTGAATTCATCCCCTCCGAAAGCATGGCATAAAGGTTAAGAATAGTGGAAAGGAGGCGTGGTGCGTCACAGATAAGTAGGAATAAGGGAGCTTTGGCTTATTTCGTAAGGAACAAATGCCACGTCGGACATGTGTGAACGCTACTTGTGGGCCTTTGACTTCAACTCTCTATCTCTCTTTAAGTGCCTTTCACGCGCCACCCTTTTCCCTCTCTTTTCCTTCCTTCTCCCTTCCTTTCTACTCCCCTTCTCCAACACCCTTTCATTCATTTCCCTCTTTTCTTAGGGTTTCTCCTTTTCCGTTTCCTTCTGCACTCCCTCTCTGAATTCCATGTGCCAGGGGTTATTGCTCTCCCATGGCTGAGACCACAAACTACATTCCCAACCCCCAATTAGGTTTCATTCTGCTTCTCGATTCTCAATTTACATTTTCTTTCTGTTTTCTATTGGTTTTTTTCATTCCTTCTGCATGCATGCCCCTGATTGCCTTTTTTCTCATTCTCTCTCTGCTTTCATGCACGTGTCACTCTCTGTTGTTGGCTTCATTTTTGTTTCACTATTCCTGATCAATGGAATGTCATTTTCTTTTTTCTCTTCTGTTCACCTGGATTGGGAAGTAAACCCCGTTCATGTTTTTATTTGTACTTTGGTGTGATCTATGATTAGCCAAGACACAGTGATGAATCTGTCGATTGGATCAAATTCATGCATTTTCTGTGCTTGTGCAGTGTCATATGTTTATTTAAACTTTTGTACCATCGTTGCCTTCACTGGTTATACGTATGAATTTATCATTCAAATAGAGTGATGTATATGAGTTTTTTTTTTTTTTTTTTTTTCCCGTGACTTATTATTACATAATATACTACCCTTTGAATGTTTCCTGGAATGTGATAGAGCTTGAAGAGATACTGCAAGAAGCAGAACATCGATGGCTTCGACCTGCTGAAATATGTGAGATACTTCGCAATTATAAGAAGTTCAATTTGACACCCGATCCTCCAGTTAGGCCTCCAGGTATTTCCTATTTTTCCCTGAACTTCATGCGCATCTTGATTTTGTTTTTTACTACAGTAAAGGGAAGGGGATACATTTCACCAGATTCGGGGCTTGAATCATCGACCTGGGAATTCCCATGCCTTAGAGGCTTGGTGGGTGACCAATGGGGTAACAAGCTCATACCATGCAGTCCTTTGATTCCTTTATCAGAGGGCACTTCATTGTTGCTGTCAATTGCCATGCTAATATAAAACATTAAGCACGTGTCATGCATTCATGCCTCATAATTTGGAATTTCCTTGTTTTGTTTTTCATTAAGTTTCATATAAGATGGAGAAACTAACTCATAATGGTGATAACAGTTATGTTTGCTTCACCAACGCACCAAAGGAAAGACATCAATCTTTATGTATTAAATATGGTACATATGGCCGGTATGAGGATAGAGTGTTAATCTTGGCATCATTTTGTTATTCCTTTTTTTTTCCAGCTGGGTCACTATTCTTGTTTGATCGAAAAGCACTTCGTTACTTTCGCAAGGATGGTCACCGGTGGAGGAAGAAAAAAGATGGGAAGACTGTAAGAGAAGCTCATGAAAAGTTGAAGGTGTGCTGTTCATTTTATTAGTTGTAAGTTTCACTTTTTAGAATTGTTATTTTAATTGAACCTCTTGCATGGGTCAAATGGTTGTGTTGGAATTTTGTATTAACCTCATGAAATCAACCCACTTTAGATTCCTATTGTTTAACATACAAGACCATGGTAATGCATTAGGAAACACCTTTGGTTGCATAAGCATATAGCTTTGTGGATGATCCTGAAATCATGACTTGTTTAACTGTTTTGGGAATGTGGTCATTAACATATGAGAGTGCAGTATGCTTGATATCTAAGCAGGATGTCTGTCTTGAAGTTTTCAATTGTTAAAACTTAATATGAATCCACGGGTTTATAATTTCATACGATTTACTAAAAAAAAAAGGGCGGCCCAGTGCACGAGGCTCCCACCTAGTGGGGTCTGGGGAGGGTAGATGTACGCAGCCTTACCCCCGCAAGCGGAGAGGCTGTTTCCAGGACTCGAACCCGTGACCTCTTGGTCACTAAGCAGCAACCTTACCGTTGCGCCAAGGCTCATACGATTTACTATTAAGATAAAATTGATGGAATAACATAAATATGTCATACCATCCCACTTTTTAAGTTCATTTTATATCCTTTATTGCTACATTCTATTGTGGTTTTCTTTAACTGGACATGTGTTATTAGTGGTTGAGGAATATCCTAAATTTATACCAAGGCTACCTAGTTTTTTTCCTTCCAATTTCATGCTCAATAGGCACTTGGTTCTTTTTCCTTGACAGGGTAATATTTCATTCAAATTCCATTGTGGTTAATATAAGTTACACAATAGATAATTATCTCAGTTCTAAGTTTTGTAAAATCAAGATTGTATAAGCTTTGATAATGTTTTTGTTTCCTGTATAGCTTAAATTTTGGCAATTGCATCAAATGAACATATCTGGAAGCCAAGTTTTATCAAATGAATACCTTTATGTAACTCTAAGCAATTGTGTATTTTAGGTTCCTTGTTTTGATATACACACTCACACATGTGTGCGCTTGTGTGTGTATAGTGCCATTTCTCCCTTTTTTCTATTTTACTTTTGATCCCATGAACTGCCTGCCTCATTGATTGGCCCTATTTTTGAGTGCAGGCTGGTAGTGTGGATGTCTTGCATTGTTACTATGCTCATGGTGAGGATAATGAGAACTTCCAACGGAGAAGTTATTGGATGCTTGATGAGTGAGTTTCCATCATCATATCAACTTCAGGATTGTAGTCCCTATCTTTGATTTTTTAAGAGGATATTCAGTATGGTGCTTATGTTGCTAATTGCTAATGTATCTGAATAATTTGTAAGTTGATTTGAAATCTTGAGCAATAATAGATCAAATATAAGTTTTCATATGTATGAAACACTGAAAACAATGTTGCAAACTGATGGTTTATTCATGAAAATAATGTTTTTCTTGTGCATTTTTTTTTTTGGGTTCTTAAGCTGCCAAGATTAACAAATTCAAGCTTGAACCTTATGGACTAGCAATCTAAACAGGCTAGCTGCAGGGTTGGTTTATTTTATTAATTAAAAAAATAATTTTTTTAAATTACTGATTTATAAATATTTATAAATTTCAATAATTAAATAAAAAATGCTATCTTTCATAGGTTGATGATGAAAATCCAACATTATTATAAATATTGAAAACTGATAAGATTTCTGGCTAAAGTGAGCCCTTATTTGATGGACTTAATTTTTTGAAGCTCTGGGTCTGAATAAACTTGTGGGCTGTTCCACTAGTTCTGGCCCTTTTTACAGTCGTAGCCTTGTAGCATTGATAAAAAATTTCTGTCAACTTAAAACATTTTGTTGGTTTGCAGGCTGTTAGAGCACATTGTGCTTGTGCATTATCGAGAAATTAAAGAGGTATGCATGTGTTTTTCTCTTTTTGTTGCTTTTTTATTTATATCATATAATGCTATCTAGATAAGATGCTGTTATACTGTAATCAGAATCTAGTTTATTTTTATTAGTGATAAGCTCAACTATGTTGATTTTATTTCTGTTATCTATCTTCCAAGTTTGTTTATAATGATGAGCCGCATTTTTGGGTTGTGGCTAATTGGAAATACTGATTAATGATTGGCTTGTCAATGGATATTCTGATCTTATTGTGATTCTCTAAATTGGTATGCTTTTTGCATGTTAAGTGTTTTGTTCTATTATGTCATATGCTTTACACTTTACAGGGCTGCAAGTCTGGCATCCCACATTTGCCTGTAGTTCCAGTAACCCTGGTTGATTCAGTGCCTTCCTCTTCCAAAATAAACTCATCAATATCTGTAGTTCAAACATCTTTCACATCGAATGCAAATAGAGTTGATCAGAATAGACAAGCTTCAGAGTATGAGGATGTCAATTCACAGAATGGTCCTCAAGTCTCCTCTCATGCTCAGCCTATCAGCAATTCTGTACCTTGGCTTACACATGAAGCCATAGGTAACTTGTATGAGATTGTAGATGTAGGATTCATCAAATTATGAGGAATGATTTAAAATGGATTAGGAATAAGTTTGCTATGTCAGTTCCCTTGTGGATTAATTTTGCTGCAATTAGATCCCTAGTGCCACTATTGTTGACTCTTATGACAAAGCATCAATAATGTTGATTTTAAAATTTATTGTTTTATTTTTATATGCTATATTTCATAATTTTCCTTTACAGGATTACTAGCATTGCTATATTTGTGGGATTATTTTCATTTTGATATTTCAATGTTAAAATGTCTTAACTTTATCTTGTTAAAGTAAATTTCCCCTATTAAAATGTTGATTTATTTTAATTCATCTCGAGACACAATCACTATTTTATTTTGTTATTTGTCAAATGAGATTTTAGTGACAAAGATAATGCCTATTGCCTTGGTCCTCCTTCACCCTCACGCCATAGACTGTGTTTGTTTATTTGGCCCATGAGATGGTACTCTTTGGCTACTTTGTTATAATGGCACTTTTCTTTGAATTTTTAACATGTGATTTATTTATTTTTAAAATTTTTATTATTTAGGGTTTTCTGAGTTGTTGAGGAAGCCCTTGATTTCATCATGGCCATCTTCTTCCCCTAGCTATTCTCCTGGTACTGGGTTGTCTCCCTGTACCTTGATTCAGAACTCTAGCAGAAACACTATTAATATGCATGATAAAAAACATCATGTTGAAGGCTCTGAAGCTGACTTCGCTGTTCATAAGATAAGAAATGCTGGGTTAGATCCTGTCTGCAGAATGCAAGATGGTGTAATTTTCCGAGATAGGCTCATTGCTGACATGTTCATCCAGCCAGATAAAGAAGATTTGCTGACTGTTAATCAGGTGTGGTACTTGCAATTATCAATAATTTTTAAACTTCACCGACACATTTCCACTTTCCTTTGTGATTCCTCATTATTTTAATACAAAGTTTGGGTAGATTTATGCTTCTGAGTGATCATTAGTTTTGTCATTGCATCTGAAGTGCATGTTAACAAAATAATAATGTACTTTATGATCTTGTGGTCTATGTTGTTTCATGTGTTTTTTATGCTAATGCAATCTTGTTCCTGTGTTTTTTATGTAGTTTTCTGGCATGCTTACCCAATGTGACCTATTTTTTATTTTTTTAAAATTATATTGTGGCAGATGCAAAACGAGAGTGGACAAGATTCTTTTCATTCTCAATTGCATGATCATAATAATCATCCAATTGCTGCAACTACTACAATCCTGGCTGAACAAAAGGTTCAAGTTGGTGATTCAGAAAATGGCGAGTCAGAACAAATAGAATATGGGGAAATGAAGAAACTTGATAGTTTTGGAAGGTGGATGAATAAGGAGATAGGTGGAGACTGTGACAATTCCTTGATGGCTTCAGATTCTGGTAATTATTGGAGTACACTTGATGCTCAAAATGAGGATAAGGAGGTATCTAGTTTACACCACATGCAGTTGGATATGGATTCATTAGGCCCTTCTCTTTCCCAAGAACAACTATTTAGTATCCATGATTTTTCTCCAGATTGGGCATATACTGGGGTTAGAACAAAGGTGTGTGCCTTTTCATGCACATGCTTGAAATTTTCTATATTTGTATGTTCGTGAATTCACAATATAAAATCTGGTTTTAATTTATTTCTTCCTTCTGTGAAAAGGTTTTAATAGTTGGCACATTTCTGGGGAGTAAAAAGCTCTCTAGTGAGACCAAATGGGGATGTATGTTTGGCAAAATTGAGGTTTCTGCTGAAGTTTTGGCTGATAATGTTATACGTTGTCAAACTCCTCTGCATTCACCTGGCCGAGTACCATTCTATGTTACCTGCAGTAATAGGTTAGCCTGCAGCGAGGTCAGGGAATTTGAATTTGATGAAAATCCAGCCAAATTTTTAGGTCCTGTGGGTATTAAAATCTCACCAGAAGATGAGGTACGGCTTCAAATGCGACTTCTTAAACTAGTAGACTTGGGACCTGACCATAAGTGGTGGAAATGCTCTGTTTCTGAATGTGAAAAATGTAAACTCAGGGGAATAATTTATTCCATGAGAGATGATAGTGGAGTATTTGAAGAAAGTTTCCAGATTGATGGGAATGGTCATATGAACCCTAGAGGTGTATTATTTCAGAGATTAATGAGAGACAAGCTTTATGAGTGGTTAATATGTAAGATTCATGAAGGAGGAAAAGGACCACATGTGTTGGATGATAAAGGCCAAGGAGTAATACATTTGGCAGCTGCACTTGGTTATGTGTGGGCTATGGCACCATTAGTTACTGTTGGTATCAGTCCTAACTTCAGAGACACTCGGGGAAGAACAGGACTTCACTGGGCATCATATTTTGGGAGGTCAGAAACTCTTTCATGTTAAGGACTTTCTGTGCTTGTATCAGAAATTAGCAGGGTTTTTCTTCAACTTAAAATTAATTTTGTAATTCTTGGATTATTCTGTCTTTATTTCCCTGTTTTAGAAATAAAATTATATTCTCTATGTATTGTATGAATTTTGCTTTTCAAAACTTCAATTTTTGTATTTTTGTTTTGCTTCTATATTCTGGAAATTTGTATGCATTGTTGGGGATGATTGTCATTACATATTGTCTTCGAGACCTTAGACATAAGTTTTATGTTCTCTCTATCTCTATTTAATTACTTAGTAATTTATGGGCTGTATATAGTTATTTTATATAACAAAATTTATCTATTCTCACTCTTCTCCATTTCCTTCTCTCCAGAGAAGAAACTGTTATTGTGTTAGTCAAATTAGGTGCAGCCCCAGGTGCTGTTGAGGATCCAACATCAGCTTTTCCTCAAGGAAAGACGCCAGCAGATTTAGCTTCAAGTAGAGGACATAAAGGCATTGCTGCATACTTGGCCGAGGCTGATCTGACTAATCAATTATCTGTGTTGACTGTCAAGGATATTGAGACTGGCAACATTGCCACAACCTTGGCAGCTGACAGTGTTTATCAGTCTGCTGAAGATGACCCATCTAATATGACAATGGATGAGCAATGTTATCTCAAAGAATCACTTACAGTGTTTAGAAAATCAGCCCATGCAGCTGCTTCAATCCTAGCTGCCTTTAGAGCTAGGTCATTCTGTCAGAGGCAATTAGCTAAAAGTAGCAGTGATATTTCTGAAGCAGTACTTGACGTAGTTGCTGATTCTTTGAGCAAGGTGCAGAAGATGGGTCACTTTGAGGATTATTTACATTTGGCAGCTTTAAGGATTCAAAAGAGATATCGTGGATGGAAAGGAAGAAAAGATTTTTTGAAAATACGTGACCGCATTGTAAAAATTCAGGTACTTGTCTGCTTGCAGTGTATTCTAGTAGCATCGTATCGTGAGCATCCCAGCCTTCTAGATGCTTTTCATGACAAGTTTTACAATATCCTTTTTCACCCAAAAATAATTTTGATTTCATTCTTTCAGGCTGCAACCTTTAAAATGGTTGTACGGTGACTGGAGCTTTTCTTTAGGTTTAGCGTACTGTGATTTCATTTGGCATTTTTCCATTTGAGTAAAACCCCCATTCTAGACACTGAGAGTGGAAGTGTCTGTCTCTTTAGTCCTTGACAAAATCCTCATTTTAATCCCTGACTTTGCAAAAATTTATTTTAGTGCTTTTCCACTATCAGTTTTGTACCAAAAAGGAAAAAAGTGAGGATGTTATAAAGTTAGGGACTAGATTGATGCCTACGATTTCAAGGACTAAACGGAGGCTTGCTCTTTGCATTTACTGGGTCGTTGCAGTGTCTATTTTTACTGCGTGTTCGTCCTTCATGTCAATTTTCCATTCTTCATTTTATTTTGACATTCTATTTCTCAATTTATTTCATATTTATGATGGAGACAGTATTACATTAACATTATTCCTCTATATAGGCTCATATCAGAGGACACCAAGTTCGTAAGCAGTACAAAAAAGTTGTTTGGTCTGTTAGCATTGTGGAAAAGGTGATATTGCGTTGGAGACGGAAAGGAGCTGGTCTGCGAGGGTTCCGGGCTGAGCAGCCAGTTGGTGTTGTAGCTAAAGATTCTGAGAAAAGTGACGAGTATGAATTTCTTAGCATTGGAAGGAGACAGAAAACAGATGGTGTAAAGAAAGCTCTGGATAGAATCAAGTCCATGGTTCGTAACCCAGAAGCAAGGGATCAGTATATGAGGCTCATCATGAAGTATCAGAAGTTTAAGGTACTCACTGTCTTTCCTTTTTGCTGGGCCTTGTTTTGTTTTGCAATTTTGACAGTCCCATGAAGTAGTGTGTGGTTCATACAGTTTTGTTGAATTGATTCAGAAAGAAGATATAATCAATTCTTGTTGATTGAAAGCAAACCTGATTGGCTAATTCTATTTTGTTGCTTGTTGTGGCTCACCCTTGAACAGGTTGATGATGGCGAAAGCTGTCAATCGCAGAATGAGGTTAGACTCTAAAGGAAGAAAAGAGGAAAACTGGCTCTCTATGTTTATACTAAAATCTTACAGGTATACCTTTTGTTATTTTTATATAAATAAATAACATCTAACGTAGTTTCTAGTTTATATGGATGCTCTATTAATTTGAAGGGTAGAAGAAAATTCAGAAGAAAAAAAAAGGAAGGGAGGAATGTATATGCCTTTTAATTCTCCTCTATCAGTGTGAATAGAAGTCGGTTAGTTGATATAATGCATATTGTATAGTCTTATTGAAATATGCGGATTTTCGCAATAGTTATAACTTATTTATATTTTGCAAGTTGTATGCAACTGCAATTTACTTTCACCGCTGGCCTTTTTGTTTCAGGCAAATACTAACAAGTATTGTCAATACTTTGATACACTGGTTAACGAAACAAATGTTGAAAACAAAAGTTGAAAGTGAAAGATTTTTTATTCCTAGCTTATATAAGTTGCTCATGTAAAAACTATAAATAAATAAATAGAGAATGCTTACGCGCGTTTATTGATCGAGAAAACAAAAGTTCAAAGTGGTGAATGAAAAAGAAAAGTATTTACCATATTTAAAAGAGTTAATAACCTATATACTGCCAGTATAAATTTTTTTTACACTGGTAACTAATTATATCTTTTAATTGTGTCATGTCATCTTAAATATATTTATTTTTAACAGTGACAAGACACAATTAAAAGATGTAATTGGTTGTTAGTATAAATTTTTTTTACACTGGCAGTGTATTAGTGATTAACTCTATTTAAAATTCACAGATTCATCTTTCACGGATGTGTGGTAATGCATGAAATATGTGCGGTCTCAGACTATGATTTAACGGATGAATGAATTCCTTAATGTCTTGGACGAAAGGGCAGGGATGTTCGAAACGTTAATTTGCAAACTGACATACTTTTCGGTAGAACTACTACTAAAAAGGTGTTATCTACGTAAGGAATTCTAACATCAGTATATTTATATAATTCTTTTACCAATGATTATCGTCATTAAATATAATTATCACTGACGATTTAATTCAATGGGCAATTTTAGAACTTTCAAATTATGACATTATTAATTAAATTTAACTATTCTAATTATTTTTATTGGTTTTGATTAATTATATATATATATAAGTGAAGGTAATATCATGTAAATTATCTAAATTAAAGATGTAACATGATAAAAAAATATTCAGTGTAATTTTGTTAAATCTCGGGAGATGATGATAATTTGTCTTGTTAAGGATTAACAAGAGTTATTTTAATGGAATTCTTTTATTTTCTAAAGATCCCTACTTTATAACAAAAGTAATTTTTTAAAAAAAATGCTTTTTTCCCCCTAAATGTGTTAAACATTTCATTTTTAACCATTAACTGAATTTTACGAATAAATGAATTCCTTAATGTCTTAGAGGAAAGGACAGTGGAATGTTGGAATGGAGTATCAAGACTTTAATCCTTGAGAGGTCATTTACTTCTTGAAAAATTAAAATAGGTAATTTGAAAACTAGATTGTTCACTTTACAGCATGTGATAAAGTTCCACTCGAAAAAGTAATTCAGTGCACAACATTGTTACAAGCCTATTCAAGCAGTGTTCAAAATTTATGATGACAGCCTTGAACGTGTCAACTAAAAAATTGAACAAATAATAGCATAATTGGCTCCCCGAGGTGACGGAAAACCCAAATAGGCATTTGCTTTTGGTGAAATTTATGCTCATCTCTCTCTCTCTCTCTCTCTCGTGCGTGCATTGGGTATCTGTACAGTTTAACCTTGTGAATTACTGCTATTACCAGCAAATTTGCGGTAACGAGAAGGCTCGTCATTAAAACGAGAAAGACGTCGTTCGGGTTGAGACACCCTTTTACTAAATCCAACGTTACCCATATTTAATGCACCTTTGTCCTGTAATCCACAAAATGAATGGCATTAATAGGGAAAATGGTTCATTATAAAATGGTAACTTAACCCTACCAAAAATAAAAAGGTTAGCAGATGCCTTAGTCTTAGATGACGACTGTGGGGCAGGTTGGGTATTTCGCGTCCCAAATAGTGTTTTCACCGTGTCATCCAATTCTGCAACCTTCCTCAAGAGATTGGTCTTGTCCATCTACAAGAAAAGGCAACAAAAACCATGAAAAAAAACATTTTTAATTCTTATGGGGAAACTCGGGTCACAATTATGTGTTGTCATACCTTCAACATTTCATTTTGTGCAGAAAGCAATTGATCTCGCTCTTGCAATTGCTGCATTGCTATCTGAGTGGCAAGTATATCTGCCTCTTTGGTTTTCAGTTCCGATATGCAGCTGAATCACACATGATATGTAGTGAGAATAATGGAAATGAAAATTCTGAACGCGTATTGCCAATTATATAGTTCGAAATAGCCTGGGCGCAGATTGCAAATATTAAGGACGAGAGAATTAGGAATATTGGAACGACATGTGTAATAATTAATAAAGTAATTTAATATATAAGATATCTCTGCTATAGAAATTCGGAAGCATTTCTTATTTGATTAATAACTCATAACTCCCAACTCCAAGCTATATTTATAATCAATTTTATCTCTTATTTGACGTGCAAGTTGTTCTCTTGGGTTCACTGGAGGTTATCTAACTATCCCCTTCTATTTGATCACTCCACCTGTTTAAATATCTTACCCTGATACATGGTTAATGGGAGAAGTTAAAATATGATAAAGAACTCCTAAATCACGAGCTATGCCAAATTGAAGAGTGAAGACAAACAATTAGAACGTATAATCACAAGTGGAAAACAGATTAGTAAGACATGGTTTTAGGTATGCTGACCTCTCCCTTTCTTCTATGAGATCATTTATCTGCAGTCTTAGATCGAGATTCTCTTTTTCCTAATGAGAAAGAAATGGTAATTAAGATAAGCACATTATAAAATATACTGTACACCATAATTTGGCAACAAGTACCTTTGCAAAGAACTCTTCTCTTTGATTGTGAGCCTCTTCCACTAATTTCACAATTTGATTTTCTTCTATCAAATTCTACAGCATACCAGAAGCAAAAACGCAGGGCAATGAGAAATTGCGACCATGAATTCCCACAATTAAAAATGAATCTAAAACTTACTGCATAGTCGGTAATGTCCAATTTGACACCAAGAAGGTCCCGAATGACATCATGTGTCATGCTTTCAGCGGCAGCCAACCTTGTTTGTAGCATGCATACCTGATCCAACAAATGTATTGAGTAATTACTGTGCTAATTCTTAACATTTATAAAATTTATATGAAGTGACTCTGCTATTCATACACCTTAAATTCTATTCCTGGCCTACACCCTAATTATTAGCCAAGTCTTCGACGATGACCCTCCACTAATTTCAAAATTTGCTTAAACAAAAACATGCTAGTTCGTCAACCAAATAATAAACATTGTTGGGCGTTGAAGAAAATTTGAGAAGATATCCAACATGAAACAATTGGAGATATTATTTAAGGTTTAGTTCAATTATGAATAATAACTAAACCAACATTCTAGACATAGATTCATCTAAAACCCTTATAACTATAATATGAAAATGATATTGATGTGTACTCTCCAAGCATCTAAAAGGTTAAAGACCTCCTTGTGCCGGCTAGCTGCCAGTGTTTCTAGTTCTTCCGCACGGAGCCTTGCAACTGATAGTTCTTGATCTTTCTCCTGATTCATCTGCTGAACAAGATTTGAAATGCATCTGAATGGTGAGCTTGAACCTCTTGTCCTTACTGAGCTTTTCTCGATTTTCTCTGATGCTGGTACCGTTGACATTGAATTTGACATTTCTGTTTTCACTTCACGGAACATGGACTCCAGGCACTTGTACTAACCAAGAAGGATAAGGGAAGAAAAGAGACGGGGATGTAAGAATAACAAATGATATAAGGTTTCTAGTTTTCAAATAAAAATATTGTTAATCACACTTGCTTTTAACACAACACGACCCAGAAAATTAGCTGATAAAAAATAAACTTTTATTTAGATATATACCTTCTGCTGGTACTGTAATGCTTGGGCTTCAGCATGCAACACAATTTCAGAGATGTACTCTTTGCACTTTTTGATCTTTCAAAATATGTACAAAATGTCAAACTTTTGGACAAAAATGGCATGAAGTATCATGCAATTTAATTGATTTGTAATTTGTAATGAAATATATACATTTGACGTCAAGGAAAATACCTCTTTATCTTGTTCTGCATTTTCCTTTTCAAGAAACTTTATCCGATTTAATGCCTCGTGAAGTTCCAGTGTTTTACAGGGTTGCCTGCATCAGGGTTTTTATATGATGCACAGCGGAGAAATTAAATCAGAAACCAATATTACAAAGAAAATACCCTTGACCAACTTTTCATGTAAAAATAGTTCTACATTATAATCTAATCTTGTACCTCTACATCGTTGATTAATTAGGTTGTTATGAGAAATTGAGAATTAATTTTTTTTCAAAGATGTAGGAACACGTGATTAGATTATAGAATGAAAAATGTGTACACCTACAGTTGATGATCAAGAATTCAAGATTAAACTATAATACAAATCAAGGAAAGGATAGCAGCTCTAACCTAGATATCTGTTGATCAGTTTGAAGACTCATGCTTTCTGAATCAGCATTATATGGAATATTGTCAACTAACAATAATCTCTCGTTCAAAGCTTGGAGTTCCATTCTAAGTGAATCACTAATTAAACGATGTCTTCCCACCTCCTCATCCATTTCATGAACCTAAGAGCAACGCAGTCTAGTCAGTAAGAAGTTAACAAGTTCTGAGCCATTCTAAGCAACAATTATGAATGGTAGTGGTAATGTGGTATTGAATATTAATCACATTACTGAACTTAACCACACTTTGAATTACTTCCCTAAATCTTTTCTATATACAAGTGAATCGTACAATAAATAACCTTTTTCTCTAAAACATTTATGGTCGACTCAAGCTCCTCAATAGAATGTTCCAGAATCTTGACTTCCTCTTCCTTTTGCTCAGCAAAGAGCTTACTAGACTCGGACTCCTACAAATAATGATATTTCAGTTCCACTGAATGTGGTTCCACTGACAATAATTATTTGAAAGTAGAAGGAACCAGAAAAATCAGCATATAGATACCTGACGCACTTCCATGGCAATAGCTTCCTTTTCATCGACCAAGGAATAAGCCATCTCAAGCTTATCATTCAGGACACAAACTTCTTCATGGAGTTGGTCTCTCTCTATTATCACATGTTTTAGTTCATCCTCAATGCTTTCAAACAAGGAAAGTGATTGGTTTTCCAGTGAAGCTGTCAAATTAGCAATTTCTTTTTCCAAACCTTTAATCACCTCTTTATGTTCATCCAATTGTCCTTCAACTTCAGTTTTGTTGGTGTATAATTCTTTCAGAAGCTCCCTTAACTCCACATTTTGATTCGAAAGTTTCTCAATTGATTCTTTAGCAACCTTAAGCTCATAATTTGATGTAGTTAAGGCCTTCTCAGTGTCAGCAAGAGAACCTTCAAGTTTTCTGTTTTGAATCAGTAAATCATCAAGCTGACTTGCTTTAATCTCTAGCTCATACCGAACCTGGCTTAGAGAAAATATTAACTTTTCAGTGTGATCCTTAATATCCTTGCTGTTAGAAGCTGATTCCTGCAACAGCCTAAAATCAAAAAGTAAACCCTCTAATAACTCTTGTTTCCTCTCTAACTCTTTTGTAAGAGCCATATTTTCATATAACATTTGGACACTGGGCAAGTCTGGCTCCTCTTGCACCTTTTGGATTAACACGCATTCATCTCTTTTCATTATACCCTCATTACCTGTACTAATTACAGGTTCAGCAACACAAGAGCAAATCTTTAGCAAATTATGCAATTCCCCTTCCCTAGCTGATTGCAAATCATGGTTCACAGTAATGCAGGCAAACTTACTGACAAGCTTTGTTACACAGCAATTGTACAGAACAAATGATACAAACCCTTCATCCACCATCTGAGAGCAAATATCTTCTAACGATGACCTCAGCCTGTTTGTAAAGTGTAGCATCTCCTGCCCCATCTGAAGAACATCAGAATACATTTCCATGAATTTCTTCTCCATGTCAGTTTGCATTTGCAAGAAACGCCCTTCTAGCATAGAAACTGAATTTGTCATCTCAATCAAACTGAAATGGATGTGGTCTTTTAGTAATTGATTCTCTTTTTCTTTATCACAAATTGAAGATTTGAGTTTTTTAATCTCTTCTGCCAAGCTTTCTCTCTCAGTCATCAAGTTCTCACCAGCCTGCTTCCACATAGCAGTCAACTGTTTTGACTCTTCAAATGCTTTTGTCAAGGCATGTAGCGTGAGATCAGCTTCCTTCACTGTTGCATGAGCTTCCATAAATTTGGTTAAGAAGCCACTATCAGGCATAAACTCCCCACAGCTCAATACCTAAGTAAAGGTACAAAATTTAAAGAATATAAAAGACATGCCTTTATTCCTGTACAGTAAAATCTTTGACGATTGTCAAGCAAGCAGTAATTTTAATAATTGATGCATTTATTTCATAGAGTTTGGCCACTAAATGGAAAGCTACATACCTCGTTGTCGTTCTCACAACCTTCTTCATCTTTCTGCATCTTCAACTGGAAAGATGGAGCCTCATTTTTCAGTTCTGTCATATATCATTACATGATTTACATTTTTGCAGTACTTTTCAGATGAGTAAATACATATAGATTTAACAATTCAAAAAAAGTATATTTATGAACAGAAAAATGGAAATAGTTGTGAAATGATACCTTTTGCATAAGAACAGGATCTATCATCCATTTCATTGACAAGTGCAGAAAAACAAAGATACAGTCCTTTAAAACCATCATATATGACATTTAATTCTTTACTCAGACATGACATTGCTGCTTCATTATGGATTGGCCTTTCCACTGGCCTTTCTGTATATGATGATCCACAATCATCATCAGATTGAATTACAGTGCATCTTTCAGATTTTAGGTGTACCATTGGTTCAGTTATTTTTCCAGGGAAATTAAAGGGGCAAGTATGTGTGGATCCTTGTGACTTGCTTCCAGAAGCAAAGCTGTCAGTTTCAGATGATAAATCAGAGACCGAAGAACTATCAGTGCTCAACTCATCAGCATCTATGACAGCTTCATCCACCAGTTGAAAGCTAGACACATCTTCTGTGCTAATAAAATTCTCTATGATATTCAATCTTCTATTCACTTCAACAAGTTGTTCTTTTATCTGATGCAGTGTGTGACGCTGGTTTGCAAACTCCTGAGATTTATTTGCATTTGATTTTAAGGAGTCTACTGTATAAACCTCAGAACATCTATGATACGTCTTTAAATCCCTTATTTCTTTCCTCGTGTCCTGAGTTTCTTTGACCATGCCCTGAATCAAGTCCCTGTAAGCAGAATAAAGACCTGAAACACTAGTTTGGAAAGCTTCTGTCTGTGTTTCTGTATCAACAAAACCAGCTTTTACAGCATTTTCCATCTCCAGTATCTCTAGTTTAGTTAATTCAATTTGAGCCATAAGATCATTCAGTATCAAATTATTTTCAACATCTTGATTCTCAGAAATAGTACGACTTTCCAGTCTGGCATGCACACCAAGCTTAGGAATGGAAATATCTTGAACGTCACCATTCATGTGAGCAACATTATAACTTTCCAAAAGCCATTTTGCTACAAGGAATGCAGCATCGGCTTGTTTAGTTACGTTACAAAGTTTATTGCTTTTACAATTTATTTCATTTTCCAGCATTCTTATCATATTGGTCTTCTCATTTAACAACACTCGCAACTGAGCTGCCTCCTCAATGCTTTCATTGTTGTCTACCTGTTGAAATGCATTTAAGGTTACAGTTGCTTCCTTTAAGGAACTTATTTTCAGCTCCATGTCCAATACCATCTTCTGAGCACCCTCCAAACTACTTTGTAGCTGCTGAATTGTTTCTTCCTTTTCAATATACTTTTTGACAGCCATGTCAACATGATCGCTAATCCAAGCATTGACCTGGGGAAATGAACAAGAAATACTTTTTACCTGACCACAGGCATCTTTGAGAGATCTGGAGCCCTCTAGAAGAAAGGTTGTCAGTTCAAAGATTGCCTTTTCCCAGTCCAAACACCGTGTCCTAATCTCCTCTTCTTTTTCTGCAATCATATTTCTTAGCTCTGCATTTTCTTGAGTAATGGTGCACAGCCTCTCTTCAAACTCTGACTGAAGATGGGCAACCTCTTCCTGTAAATGAAGAATTGTACTGGTTGTCTCCATCTCAACCTCTTGACAGACTGTTTCAATCTGCAGTTTCTGAGATAACTGTAATGCCCATTTCTCTTGATATTGGTCATTAAGTAACCTCGCTTCTTCAAGATCCTTGCTCATTTTTTCCAATTTGGCCTCTAACTCTTTATTGTTTTTATAATCATTATCTTTAGCAAGCATTACTGAGGCTCCCAATGCATTCCCTTCGATCATACTTGCTAAAGCATCATTAGCTTCCCATGTGGACGACCGAATTTCATCCCCCGAATCACTTCTCACAGATATTGTCTCAACCTGTAAAATTTAACTGATTATGATTAAATTGATTATAAAACAAGGAGGCACCCACATGCAATTTGTTTCCCCAAAATAAGATGAGCATATGCGCGTGCATTAACTATTAAATAACTTTCAAATACAGATTTTTAAATCTCCCCCGCCACGGTTATTTTGGTTAATGAATAGTGGTTTACTCAACACGTGATATGATGTTTTAGGATACTTGAGATTAATAGTTTGACGAAAAATGCTCGAGTAATATATATAGATATATATATATATACAATAATCATAACAGGTTTACATAGGGAGGGTCCTAGAGCCTGTATACAATCAGAAAATAGCTTTATAGAAGCTGTGCAACAGATGTATATAAAAAAATAAAAATAAAATAAAAAAACTTTTCTAACAATGATATTTGCTCATCACGTGATATATTGCTTGAGAGTTGAATATAACTAAAAATTATATTTCCATACACTTGTACGAAATTTGTTTTCTATGCTTCTCAACTTTCATTTCAAGTGATGAAATTGCTATAGATTTTGGTCATATTGAAAATCCAGTAGATGCCATAACAGATAAAAACTACCACAATTTGCAAATAAATGCATATCTGTAAAAATCACTATCATAAGCAAAACAGGCTAAATAGATTACAAGCTAAAAATTCATTTGTATCTTATTCTTTCCTCACCAATGAACATTTATCTGTCTTTAGAACTTCATCAGAATGCTCAGAAGAAGAATTCAGAACCTGCAGGAATGCAAAGAGATTAAACATGACGGAACAGAAGTTCAGCAACATGTTCGCAAGCATTGTCAGTATTTTTTAGAAATCCTCACAGCATTAGACTTAACTTGATTGTAGTTCAAATATTTTCCCAGTTCTGCTTGTAATTTACCTACTTCTCTGCACCACACACAATAAAGAAGAAAAAAGGAAGAAATTTGTCAGTGGTCTACTGCAAAATAGTTTTTAAGATTGCAATACAATGATAGTCATCACCACCACAGACTACCCGTAATTATGATATGGAAAGAGAAAACAAAGAAACAAAATCATGTTTTATAAGACAGTCATGTGTGGTGTTCTCCACAATAATTGCATTGCTTATTCTTCCTCACAAAACATCGAACAATAAAAAACCTTTTATTAAATACAGGCTACAGCATTAATAAATTGGCATCAAAGTAATAGCAGAGCATACCCAGGTGCCCTAGCTAAGAAACTTCGTTCTAAATATTAAATGATGAATAAACTATTAAGAAATTTGCTGAATAGAAGAACCAAAGAGAATAGAATTTCAGGTTTCCCATGAACAATAATGATGATGACGATGATGATTTAAGGCAACTGTCTACCTAAGTAATTTAGAATTCATATTCTGGCACTCTTCTAAGTCTTGTGCAGTATCAATATCCTGGAATATCAAAGAGCAGACCAAGTGAAAACAGGAAATCTCAGATAGCACAACTAATTTGGCACAAGTGATAAAATAAGTTGACCTGGTTTTCATTTTTCATGGGGAGTGTAAATTTTCCTTGGAGATGGACAAGAAGCTGCATGTGAATAACAAAATAGTAAATATCCGTAATATGGACCACATGAAAGTTGAGCTTTATATTTCAAGAGAGCGAAGGACAAATTATGGATCTAGCAAACCTGATCACGCAATTCAGATATTTCAGTCAGCAATCTTTCCCGCTCTCCATGCTCATAGAAGTTTTGGTATCTGGCAGTAAGCAATGACATAATGAGTCGCTGGCATCCAGTAAGAGATTAGGACTTAAGGATAGCAACTATCCACTCAACTTACTGTAGGAGCTGTTGCAAAAGTCTATCATTCTCCAAAGATACTCTGGATGATTCTGAATTTTTATCAATAATCACTTTAAGCAATTGAATCTCCTCCTGTAAAGCCCTGTTTTCCTCCATGAGATACGTCTCAGCTGACAGTTTCCCATCTACCAATAACTCAAGTTGTTTAATTTTCTCCTTATAATGCCTCAGCATGCTTGAAGTATGTTGAATGTCCTCTTCCCTTTGTCTAACCTGCAAAGAATGTGATATTACTTTAAGGTTGTGATATTAAAAAATATTTTTGCCTATTCACGTAATTCCCTCAAAAATATAACAGCTCTAACTTTCTGTGAATATTATTACAAATTTACAATTTAATAATCCTTGACAATCTCACACAACCATAATACAAGACCCTCACCATAACTGCAATAAAACATACCTCTTTGCTTGGAATAAGTAGATTGTGACCTGTTATTACTCTT